TAGCCTTCTGCTTCGTTGCATTCACATCTTACACTTCTACTCCATCCTATTCCATCGATCGATTTGTCTCCACTCTCCGAAATCGCGCGCTTTAACCCGATTCTCTCATTGCGTCGCCTGGTACGTAGCCGGCCAAACGCCGTCTTCTTTCCATGCCTCGCCTGGCTCTGCCTCCTGGTCCTTCGATGGTCCATAACGTGTAGTTTTTGTACGTTTGTTTCTCTTCAGAAACCGAATCTTCATGCGTGAAACTTTGTGTGCTATTTCCAGTGATCACAACTGACATATTCATGTTAGGAAAGAGTGCAAGAATTTTCCGCGCAAGATTCCTTTAAGTGTCGCGGCGAGTACCGCGGATTTTTCGCAATGGTGCAACATGAGGCCCACTGCTCGACGAACTACACAGGGTTTTTGGGCGGTAGTAAGATTATTGAGGGTCAGTCCAATGAGGTTGTGGCATCTTATGTTGACTTTTTGATATGGCGTCCAGCCATCAATGTCGAGCTTAAGAGACCTACCGTAATTGCGTCAATCTGAAGCCGTTACATTACTTCTTGAATAGATTTACTAGTGGATATGGTTCACCTGTACACCATTTCAATGGCAGACTTATCGTGAAGTGCGTAGAAGAAGATACAATTTTTTTCATGGAATGGAGTGTGCTCTGGTTTTTCAGTTCAGAGCATTCACTTTGAATTTAGCGGAAAGCGATTAATTCCACTGACATATAGAGAAAAAGTGTTCTTTTTTTGAAGGCAGTGATTACGATAGGTGCAAGAAGGATTTATAGAAGGCTGGTGGACGCCAGTGGCGAAAAAAGACCAGGAAGTCAGTCAAGAAAACGCAAAACAGGTCTTTTCTGGCCGTTGGTTTTCACTCATGAACAGGTAACAGCTCAGAAAGCGGACGTATGAACGAGTTCATCGCAACGCGTTTGGTGACAGCATGCCAATCCATGCTCCAGTCGAGTTGCTTCAGTTGTGCCGCTGCTGGCAACGCAGCTCGTCCAAATCACCAACTAAACTAGTGGGCGGATCGCTTTTGGGGGCGGAGTGCTTTCGAAGTCCTGCTCAGCAACCAGCGCACCTTTCGTCGTGAAAGCGCCACACCTCGCTTCCTTGGCAGCCAAGTAACTGCTTCGTGTGGTGCATATGCTTCCCCGATGCGCTCCCACTTTATCGTAATCGCTGCCCTCAATTAGCTGCCCCCACCTTTCGTAATCTCACGCAAATATAGTCCGACTTGGGGTCCTCTCCTGATATTTAGATAGCTTATCGTCATCGTCCAGTTAGCCTTTTTTCATACTGCCATGGATACTTTGGACTAGAAGCACATTTGTTTGCAGAGCTAGCCAAAATCAAAACAGCGACGGAACGTGGCCAATTGCTTTGGCTCGGAGGGAAACAACGAGACTATCCATCCAGCAAGGATTGGTCATGGTCGGACGGAGAGCCTTTCAGCTACACAAACTGGTATGAAAACGAACCGAATGACATAGGTAGCGAGCAATGCCTACAGGTATTTCTCACAATTTGTTTATTTTGCGTTAGCTACCAAACAAGGTCAACCGTCATGTTGGACCGATTTCGAAAATTTTACGACCCCCCTCCCCCCTGGAGGGCCTCGATACCCCCCCCAGGGCCAACTCCTCACGACCATCCTCCACCACCCTCGCCTGCCGGGGGGCGATTCTATAGTATTTGATTCTGAGATCAGTCGACACAGCCCAACTCCGCCCACTTTTCCTTCCAAAATTGCCGTCGAGGGGGGGGGGGGGGGAACGTGAAACGGCAAAATTTTCACACTCACACTCAACCCAAAAGCCCAGCCTACAAGAATCCCACTATCCGTTCCATAAAAAACATCCCTTCCCTTACTGTAACATTGACGCTACCTCGCGAAATACGACCCCCTTTTCCACCCCCAAATACGACCCCCCACCCCATCGTTGGACTTTGTCCAACGGACGGTTGACCCTGCTACCAGATATCGCAGCGAAACTTTTACACTGAATCGGTCTCTCACTCGATCTCTCTTAGATTTTTGACAGATTTTTCCTACTTTTGAGTTCTTTGTTTTTCCGTACAATCCTTCTACTTTATAAAGGGCTAACCAAGGGTGTCGATCTGTGTGCATGCCGCTATTTACCCTCCCCTTCAAAAGCGAGAAAGTGTCGGGTGCAGACCATGCACCACAAGTGACGACGGCCTTCACAAAATGTTAATGTTTTCTGCCAATGAAATGATTAGCCTGTTGCAGTTGTATTCTATCGATTGTCACTGATTACAACTGTCCTTTATCAGAAATCTTTTTGGAAAACTACTTCTCTTTATGAAATCGTTCCTTTGTGACCTCAAAAAGGGCGGATTGAGGCGGATTACTGCGCATAATATGTGGACGAAGTCATTCGCTACTTCTTGCAATTGTGATATCCTGTGTGGCACTTTGTAATCGACAATGATATGACGAGAAGGAAGAAATGCACAACGTTCCTACACATGCTATCCTCTGTACCTCCCAGCAGCGAGTACCGTATTCGGATCAAGATCAACATTGACATCACTTTACGAACTTACTCGAATGTGGGCTTTCATAAGAACAGGCTTCGATCCACTTCACATTGAAGCCATGGGTCGGGATTGGGTGTCAAGAAGTAGTCACTCCTAGAGTAAGAAAGAAGGGTCTCCAAGCAGTATACCTGTCGTCTGCGCCCTCTCACGTTCGACATGCTCTCGTGTATTTTCCCTCTCCTCACAGTTTTGTGTCTCTTCTTATACCACGGCCAACCTCACAAAGAAAATTTTAGTACTCTATAAAGTTTTTGCTTTTTTTCGATAAGGTCTCTCATTTTACTTTTTGTCTGATTCTCGAACAAAATAGCACACTAATTTGATCCCAATTCGTTTATTAAAGCTGGTCTACAAAAGGATGAGCCAGGGTGAAAATCGTGTCGAGTACGTGGTCGCAGAAGTACGACCCCCCCCCCCGAAATCGAGATCCTGGCACGACCCCCTAAAACAGAGCAAATTAATTCAATTAATTAATCAAAAAAATCCTGCAAAACAAATCAAAAAAAATGCAAAATAATGTTATGGACGCCTCATCTTGTCATCTATGCACTGTCTTTCATCGCTGCACACTTTTGTGTATTTACTGAAATATCGACTCGAGGAAAGAGGCATTAACTTTGTTTGACCTCAAAGT